AGAGCTTTCTCGTGTCTTCAACGTGATGTATGACGTGCCAATATTCTTTGTTATCATATTACACACTTTAGACTCAACATACCAGAAGCATATATCGCTAAGGAATTTCAGCATAAAAGTGTAATTACGGTTTGGCTTACAGCATTTTACTATGATAATGAGGAAAATCTACTAAATTATATGGAATAAGTAAAATAAAATATTATAATTGATTATACGAGTACCTTATCATAAATTAATTTAATTGTTTGTTAATTAATTCTCGATATTGCTATACCATACATCTAACTGGGAAGGCACAAGCTACTGAAAAATAGTGCTCACCACGTCAGGCGCCTAATCACGTGTTTTGTAATCTTTTTCGGCAATATATAAAATTATTATTCTTATTATTATATATAAAATTCTCTTTACTGTTAAAGACATTAAAAAAACCTGTTATGTTCAGACAAATCCTTCATCTTTTAGTTACATATAGTATATAGCGATTAATTTGTTTCAATTAGACCTATTAGAAAGGCACTTTTGAAAGTCAAAATTACGAGTTATAAATATTAAATTACTATTTGCCCCTTTGAAAAGGAAACTATGAAAATAGCTGAAACTATATGAAAAGAAACTATCTTATGAAGAATGGGCAAGAATCTCCATACTTACTCTTTTAAAATTGTTATTACAATATATTGTATATACCTCAACAAAAAAAAAACTACTACATTAAAATAAAAAAGGCGGATGGTGTTATAAAAAACATCCAGCATCTTCTAAGGTTGATTAAGAAGTGCCATCTTAGTAGTCCATAGGTATGGAGAAAGAGTTGTTTATATACAGGTTTTCGCAAACGATATTGTGTTGGTGTTCACGGGAAGGTGAACCCTTTAAAAAGTGATGGAGTCAGAAACCCAATTTCTTGCCACAAAACCAACGAAATGGCCCTGATGTAATCCTTAATGTGACGACGACACTTCAAGGATTAGTATGGGAGGCACTAACATCAGCCTGGTAAAGGAGATATATTTATTAGAAAAAGGATGAGGGAGTCGGGTTTAGCAAACACAAAAGGCAATAGAAATATACAAAAAAGTGGCAAGAATGGCGAAGATGGATTGAGGGGGTAAACGACGAAATATACCGAGCAGTGATCAAGCGATCATAACTTATGCCAGCTTGGGCTTCGGCGGCAATAAAGTTACGCATACGAAAAAAGCCCTAAGACCGTTCGCGCAGAAAATAGCAAAAACTTACCAGACAGCTTCGATAAATTCCGTGACCTAACAGTTACAGAATCGCAAGGCTGATATTAGCGAAGCTAGAATAGTGAAGATTACAAATTTCAATTTTTGAAATATGAATTTTACTAAAAAAAATCAGTCATAAAGGTTGTACCTTTTTAGTTCTGGGCCTCCGATTTCTGTATCTTTTTCATGATCATTTGTTAATCTAATAGGCCAGTAGGTGATCAGCCTTCTGTGCCTGACACACGCCGTCGAGTTTTTCGGTCTAAGGCAAGCCGGTTTTCTCACGATGTATTCCTTCACCGTTCGAGCAAATGTTAAATGCGCACATAGAAAGAAACTCCATATGTGCACGGCCGGGGATCGAACCTACAACCTAAGGGATGAAAATCGTACGCTGAAGCCACTTGGCCAACACTGCTAAAATTTTATTTCATACCCAAAAAACATAGTCCATCGCCTTTATATTTTTAATAATCGGAAACTAATTACTCCTATTCTTCGAAATAATTTATATCATACACAACTCGAACAATGATAGCTCATCATCATCTAAGTTTTGCCAAGTTATATCCCTCAATCCGTTTTTGTTGATTTCTATCACGCTATTGCCTCGTGAACACTAATCTATAGAAGAAAATTACGCTTCCCGGTTCTACGTTAAGGGTACACTAAGACCTTGCAATTATGTCAAAGTTTATGACTAAAATAGTTTCACAGCTCTAGATTTAACATTGAGTTGCGTTTGTCAAATATGCTTTTGGCATACAGGTGTTACTAGTAAGTGACATTTTAAAATATAGATAAGATATAATAAACTTTCATTACGCTATAATTCTTAATAATATAATATCATTCTTCTATTATAATTATGTTAACGCTTGATAGAAAAATATATAATCTCTAAATATCAAAGTAAGCTTACATCGTAAGGGCACACCCTATTCCAGGCGACAAAGTCAAGCGAACAGTTGCTAGTTTCATACATTTTATGCCCTTGAGGGAAAGAATTTAAGTTGTATCATCGCTTCTTTAATAGATATAGCTTAAGTTTAAGACGGTTTTTGGGTAATAAAATTTAATATTACCAATGGCGCTACAACCTTTTAGGTCAGGGCCTTAGATTGTTGTAACTGTTCCGTGATCATTTCGAATAGGCACGTAGGTGATCAGCCTACTGACACACACTGTTGACCATTTTCGGGTCCAAGCCATTTCCTCGCGATGTTTTCCTTCACCGTACGAGCGTTAAATTCGCACATAGACATAAAGTCCATTGCACAGCTGAGATCGAACCCTAGACTCCAGGGATGAGAGTCGCACGTAGAAGATTGTGATTGGTCTACAGCAACTCCAGTGTCGTGTATACGCAACCTTGCGTCTGACGTCTTTTGTTTTATATTCTCATCCCTATAAAGATTGAGCGAGAATATGCTTATTATAGTTTGGCAGTGAAATGGTATAATAATAACGTTAAAAACGATTATTTATTGATCAAATCAAAATTTATTTATTCATCCTGGAACGTCAATATTAACAAAAAGGAAAGAGCCTTCAAGTAAAGAGCGTACCAACGCAACGCACTCGCGAGCCCTTTGGTATTGAGAGTGTCCATGGGCGGCGGTGTCACTTAACATCAGAAGATACCCCGGCCCGTTCAACCCGGCCCGTATAAAAAAAGGGAAGATATAAATAGAAAAAGTAGATCCAAACCCCTGACTGAATTATCCTTTCAAAGAATACTTACTTTCATAGTAAATGGAATCATCGTGAGTTAACTATTTTTTAAACCGAATAATAACAACTCAATTTTTTAATTTATTTTGCATTTGGAATAATTAAATGAAACATATTTTAGTTATAATTTCATTTATTAATTCACATTTTAATATTTCATTTTATTTCACATATTTATAAGAACACAATTATATAAATTTCTATTAAATGCCTGTAATTATCTTTGTATAAATTATTTTTACATTATATTTGTATAATTTATAAGTTGATATTTTATACTACATTACCGTGTTAATCTTAATTCTTTAGTTGACATTTAGGATTGACAGAATTCGACGAAGAACATGAATGTAAAACACATTAATCGGAGAAAAACTTAAGATTTATATGAATTTATTAAATAGAACCATGAAACTTACGCCAGTTAAAATTAATGAAATCAGTCTTGACAGATAATAATGGATGGAAAATCTTATATTTAAGTGCATTAATGACCTCTAAACTAGTTCTAAAAGTGCTTTAAGTACCTACACAATGCAAAACATGCTAACATTGAATTTTCTTAGAATCTTGCACTTATAATTTAAATTACATCACAAGGGTAATATTTGACACTTAGCACGAACTATAATGTATCCAATACGTTGTTATATAGGAGATACAAAGTCTCGCCCAACAAAACACTGAGCGTCGAAGCAAGTTTTAAAGTTTAGTATTGGATTATTGGCTAACAGAGCATGAGACTGAAGCTTCATAAGAGATCATTATGTGAACTAGCGCTGTGGAAGCGGCCAAAGTTTACTAAGAGCCTACGCTGAGGCCGGAATAGCCAAAATTGATACCGCAATCCAAGTAATTGACCATATATAAGAAAAATATTTATGCTTCTATATATTATGAAGTGATGAAACAAAATGTTCGCATAATAACGCTTCAATACAATTGTCTAATTGTAAGCAAAACAAATGAACAACTTCAATTAAGAACTATTTTAATGAGCCATAAATTACATTCTTACGTCGAAACAGGTTCAAAGCCGCGTAAATTGAGAGTTTATCAACTATATAACCTATTTTTATACTACAATATCTTAAGAATTATTTTAAATTTGGTGTTCATGTTTCATTATGACAAAAAATATACTATCTTTGGCACTATGAATGTTTATACTAAAAATAATGTTTAGAATTTGAGCTTTCTCATAAGTTTACAATGTTATGCTTAAGACTAACCATTAAGACATTAATATATTACGAATAATTATCATTTCTTACATAACATATATATTATATATACCACTTAAGTGGAATGAAACTGGAACAATGTTAGTTATACTCAAAATATACACAAGATTAAAGAAAATAAGAAGATTTTCTACTTATACAACCTATTTTCATACAATATACTACAATATAAACGTATAGTTTTTATTCACTTAGCTATACTTTACGGTGTTCAATTTTAAAATTTAAAAAAGATGTAGAGTGGATGAAGGCAATAAAATTATGCATGAGACGTGGGTGTGAACATATTTACATTTTTGAGGCAAAAGGTTTTAATTTCATTAAAATTTCACCTCTAAATTCACTTTCATATATTTAATGAAAAATATTTCTCTTATGGATTTTGTTAAAAGTTCTTCACTTAGTTTTCATGGTAATGAACGACTATGCACTTAGTTAATCTAAACTTACGTTAAATATAAGCAATTTATATTATAGTACTCATTAGGGTTTAATATGAAATGAGATAAAAAATAAATTGAAATATTGACAATGCTTATTTGTTTACCAAATTTCAAATGTCAAATGTATAGTTGCTTATAACTAAGACAGTTCTTTGATTATTTAAAACACACAAGGATTTATTCTAAAACCACTCCCTTTACAATGCATGCTATTATTAATTCAAAGAGCTCCAACATACGTCAGGAGTCAATATTTACTCTAAAACACAGGTGTAACCTAACCGAACACTAGAACACACACTACAAGTGCAGTCCAGCGACACGCCGTGAAGGGTGGGTGCTCAAATCGCGGGCAGGAGGGGACTCGGCGAACGAGGTCGCCGCACACTGCTCCACTCCATCATATCCTCGTCTCCCTGTACACGTGCACTCGACATACTCTCAGCATCACACTCCTCAACTTCCCAACTCTGAGATCGAGATGTGATCATTAACTAGGACGGGGCGCTACCGGGTGATCTAAGAATAGGACTGGACACTATTTGCGGATAACTGTAGGAAAGGTCTTCGACTAAAACCTATCAAATATCAGGACAGCACGAAGCGCGAAGAGACTTTGACAGATTCATGCGGCGCCGGAGAGAAGCATACTGCATAGGACACGGAGGAGGAGAAAAGCGAAGGAAGACAGAAGAGGCCTAGAATCACAACTAGTTCAAACAGATTTAGCCCTTATTTCCTTTCGTGATTCGGAAGCTGAGGAGTGTTGCCAACATTTAAACGAAACCTGAATATTGAGCCAAAATTTAGAAAATTATTTGTATGAAGAACTTATTACGAGTGGCAGAAATAGGGTCTATAGGAAGGCCAAACATTAAGGGGTGAAAGCATAACATGGTCTTCTAAGAACTAAAATGATAAATGAACATCTATGAACGTTTGGAAGATGGAACAAGTGGAATAAGAGATGTACTCTTCTCTTGAAGCATGCCAATCGGAATAAGGATATAGAAGAACTTGACTTGATGACTTAATTTACTAGTAAGCATGACTTAGTGCTTTTAAAAAATATCAAAAGAAATCCGTAAGAGGTTTCTCAATTCGACGAATATGTTTTGTGTATGAAATTTAACGTCTCGAAGTCCAGGTGTTCCAACTACGGGGTAGATGCAGGATGGTGCAATAAACCACGTATGAGGTGAACACTTACATATAAGAAGTAATTACCATCATCGTGTGTGGCGCGTTGTGCGGTGCAGGGGGCGCAGGTGGTGCCATAGGGGGTGGCGGAGCTGGCGGCGGTTCCGGTGATGCAGCTGCAGGTGAGAAAGATGAGGGAGCTAGTGGGGATTGAGCTGAAAGAAGTCAATAAAATCAAATGTCATTCGTGTCTGGTATTTTTTGTTTGATTACGTCAATCATTAAAAATACCATTGAAGTCTTGAAGCAGGAGGATATATACAAGCAACGCGCAGACACGTCTTTCTTTCATATGAAGGTCTGTTTTGATATATATAAAACAATATGTTTCTATGCATACCTCTTCTTAGTTTAAAGCTCTAAACTTAATATATACTGCTCAAAACAATTATTAGCGGAACAAGATTTTTCTCCTTTCTATTGCTTAAACTAAAATTAGATTTAAATTAACTTGTACGCTATTTTTACCTTGTTAATTTGTTAATTACTACGATTAATTAATTTTATTAAAAAAAAATTAAAATGTGCAATCGTCTACACGAAAAACAAAGTGACGTCTTTGAATTTTCATTACTTTCTAATCACAGAAAACACATTTTAAGTAGTTTTTTTCAATCTTTTGAGTATTAATAGAAATTGAAGTGGGCCTTTTCAGTATTGTTATTCATTGAAGCGAGTGAGTTTAGGTCATAATGCCAGATCTGACTGAATTGCATGTCTCCCGAGCTATCGCTTTGCTTGAAGAGGGTCGAACTATGCGTTATGTAGGAAATGATCTAGGAGTAGCCCCTTCTGTTATCTACAGACTTTGGAAGCGATACCGTGAGACGGGAGAATACTCACGAAGGCGTGGTCAAGGTCGAAAGAGAAAAACTACACGTTTGCAAGATCGCTACATTGTCAACTGTGCTTTACGTAACAACTGCAAGAGATCTACAAAATACACTAAGGACGGCTACTGGTGTAGAAATTTCCGACCAGACGGTAAGAAATAGGTTGTTGGAAGCCAATTTGAGATCACGCCGACCAGTTCGGGCTGTGCGTCTAACAATTCATATAGACAAGCTCGCCGACAGTTCGCGCAAAATCACGCTAATTGGTCTAACACGTTGCGATGGTCGTCTCCGTGTTTACAGACGCCCAGGCGAGCGATACAGTGCAGCAGCAGTCCAGGAATATGACAAATTTGGATGTGGCTCTGTGATGGTTTGGGGCGGAGTTAGTTTGGACGAGCGCACAGATCTTGTCGTTGTTCCCGGGCGCTTGTGTGCTCAAACTTACATTAAAAATGTGCTCTAAGATCATGTTTGGCCCGCAGCATATGGTATGGGCCCAGATTTTCTTTTAATGCAAGATAATGCCAGGCCGCATACTGCAGCGATCACGTCAGATTACTTACGACAGCAGGAAATCCGTGTAATGGAGTGGCCTTCCATGAGTCCTGACCTAAATCCAATTGAACAAATTTGGGACTTGCTTGACAGGCGCATCCGGAAGCGTCCGATTGCACCTCAAACACTGCAGCAGCTCACTGAAGCGTTGATTGAAGAATGGGAGAGAATTCCACAAGAAAATATTCGGAGGATCATACGAAGCATGCCGCGTCGTTGTCAAGCCGTGATTAGGGCTCATGGAGGCCACACACGTTACTGAAAGTCACTAAAGACGAATATTCAAACGATATAAGAATATTTCTTTGATGGACCTTTTTTATCACCAATTAGTTTTTCGTCTACAATGCACATTTTAATTTTTTTTTAATAAAAAAAATACAAATTGAATTTTTTTATGAATTGTAGTAATTAACAAATTAACAAGGTAAAAAATAGCGTACAAGTTAATTTAAATCAAATTTTAGTTTAAGCAATAGAAAGGAGAAAAATCTTGTTCCGCTAATTGTTTTGAGCAGTATATTTAGCTCAACAATTCCCTTTTGGTATTCCTTTCTTCTTAACGCGTTGCTTGAAAGAGATTCGCTTGCTAGCGACAATGTCGTGCGTTGCCCTTCTAATCATTAAGGTTACACAATTGAAATTGTATTCATAATATGAAAAATGGTTTAGAAATAAAATAATTAAATCATAATATCTATAATTGGTTGAATTTAAAATCTCTAATATACAGCCCTCTTTTGAATAAGATGCTTTTATGTGTAAAATGCATATATTAACTCTTAGAGGGCACTTTAAAGCAATTTTTATATTTCTCAAGTATTAGGCTCGTATTTCCATAACTAATAATAGAACAGAGATTTTATATAAGATTTTTTAATTAGCTTTTATTAAAAATATTTTACTAGCCACGTGCAATAACAATTAATTGTTGGCGCGTAATAAGTAGTCAATCTAGTGCAAAATAAGGATCTGCTGTATTTAGTGGTATTTTAAGACATTATATACCGTTTAGTTATAAATTTAAATCAGTTTACCATGAAGCTATTTGTAACTTGTTAAATAAAACACCCGTTTCCCTAAGATTTGTTCTTTTTAATGAAGTTCTATTTTTTACTTATAATTTTTGGGTTAAACCGGCATGTCAGAGCCGTTTTCTCTTGATATTTCCTTCACCTACGGTGAGTGCGAGTGTACGCACACATAGACATAAAGTCTATTAGTTAGAACCAGGGATCATACCTACGACATAAGAAATAAGAAGTCACTAGGCCAACACTGTCTAATTAATGAATAAATTTAATAAATTACTCAGTTTATTTGAATCATTATGAAATAAAAAGGGTGCGTGTACTTATGTACGCGCGTAAGAAGTTATACTTCTTTGGCATTATTAAAAATAGTTTTTGATTGCATGCAAATAATTAATTACAATTAAATAATCAAAGACTGGAAAAGGTGTCATTATAGTCAATTAAGTTCAGTTTATATTTGAAAAATTAAATAAATTAATATTTATTATTATTATCTTACATTAAGTGTAACATAAATTCTATTATTATTCGAATGTTGTTTTTAAATTATGTCCAATGCCGTAGCATCTTTCGTGGGCAACTTCATTCTGTTAATTTTGTGTTACGGTGCGCGCGCATCGTAAAATATCACTTGCATCAATTTTTCATAACGCGCCTAAAGAATTAGTATAACTTCAAAAATTCTCGCGGTATTCCAAAGAATTTTCATTCAAATCTTATTCTTACCAGCTGCTGTTAAGGCGAGGACAAATTGGCTCCAATGCACACAACAGCCACAGCAGAGCTGCAACGCGGCGCGCCGCAGAGCTCGATGCAAAGCAATGAAGAGGAGAGGGTTAACCGCCGCGTGGACGTACGAAATGTGTAGTGTTATTTGGAAATATAACTGGAAAAAACATTTTTATTAGCTAATGTATGTATATTAATAGTATTATTATTTTTGCTCGCTTTTCGTAATGGGCGGATGCGGCTATATTCACAATTCTATGTACCGTGTACGAACACGAATTATCTGCGTAATTTTCCAATGTTAACTACAATACAATATTGATGAAGGAAATTTTACACTTTACCAAAGAGGATGAAAGGTAATATTTTATCAAGCGGGAGGACTTTGACTTTATTTATCAGTACAATTTCATTTTTATAAAAAATATTAAGTTTTTTAATTGAGTTATGTTTCCTGTTTCGTATATTTTGTTTATGTTATTGTTTTGGCTTTGTATATTGTATATGTGTAGCTGTATGAATACTTATAATTAATATAATGATTTTATATTAACAAGACTTTATTCAAAATCAATCATCGGTTTGTATTTGCATTAACTTGAAGTTCATTAATTCTTGATTCACATTATATTAAGATATAGTTTTAATTTTCTTGTTCTTCTCAAGACAGGCGAGGTTCCGAATGTAAATTAAAGCTTAAGTGACTTTATGTATGAATAATATCTACGTAAACATATAGTAACTGAATAATCAGATTACTAACAACACGTTGTTGGTTACAGGATTACTTAGCTGTTTTCAAGAGGCGCTTGCGAGTCCTTGTAACGGGATTTAATGATCATCAACAATATATTTATACTATTTTGTACCTAGTATACATAATGAAACATATAGAATAAAGTCCATATGGTTAGGAATATAATAATAATAATTCAATTGCACTGGTAATTTTTTAAGCCAGATGAGGACAAAACACGAAAAGGAAAGGTTTTTGAGTTATAATTATCTAAACGATTCGTCTTTCTAGTTGACTAATCACAATTAAAGCAAAAGCAATCAACTATACTAATATGATGAAGAGAAAAGTTTCATTTTCTGGATCTACTAAATCATTTTGTAAAATTCTTTTACCATTTTAACAAATTATTTGCTAAGGCTATATTAACACAAAAAATTTAATGTTTTTTTGAAGAAGTCGGACAAAACACCGGTCTAACAAAAACCTTTCTTACGAACGCTGACTTAACGATGAGGGGTTGATAATTGGGTTCTAGGGAAAAGAGTTTGATAATGCCTATAAATATTCGGTGCCGCGGTTTTCACCAATATAGATTTAGGATTATATTTTCACGGTACATGGTTTTCTCTTAAATATGCAAGTCTATTACTTTTAAGAAAGAATAGATGATTTAAAGAAAATATTGAAAAGGATCAATAATTAATAAGATAGTAAAATAATAAGTATTGTTTTTTTTTACTTTAATTGTTAATTTGTGTAATTGTGCTTCGCTTACTATTTTTCAGGGCAAAAACTATATTATTAATTTATATCGCCCAACTCTACCTGCGCTATAAATATGTCATCGTAAAACTGCAAATACTGGTACACAGCAATCTATATTGCGATATTGGAAACTGTCGAAAATGTGTGATGATTTTTAGTGTACAATTTAAAGCATTGTTTTTATGCTATCGAAAATAAACCCTAAAACTATGATTTTATGCTACCTTGCAGCGATTAGTTTTTTACTAAACGGGCAGAGTATTTCAGCCTTACAATGCGCAAAGGCGATGAGAAATTGGAGAAAAGGATAAAGATCACGTGGCTGTTCACAAACCAGATGGACCAATTAAGTGAAAGATTCAACGTCTTCAACTGTAGGTTTAAGAGAGGCGCTGTACAGAAACCAGTGGAAACAGATAGTCCGAGGTTTCCCTGCTGACCACGACGCTCATAGAGGACAAATCTTTGTTTTTAATTTATTTTATTATTATTAATTACTTAAGATGTCATGTGAAACATGGTGTAATGGTTGCAGCTCCTTACAAACGTTTTGTAGAACAAAAAACTTTGCGATTAAAAAGAGTGGCGGAGAGTTTATTGCCAGTTCTTCTCTTCCGTTCTACGCCCTTGAGAACTGTCAGTAAATGTTAAATTAGTAGCATTTAATGTATATTCCTTTTTAAACGTTCATAAGTGTACATTGTGTTACCTATATGAATAATTTGACTTTTGACTTTTTGCTCAGGCATGAGCTACCGACTGAAGAGAGGGATTTGAATACTTATTTACGACTACTACGACTTACCTCGTACGCAACATGTGAAGTTAATGATGGGTGGTGTAGCAAAGTTATGATAAACAGCGGGCCCCAGAAAAGCACATACGCTGCTGTGATGACCAGGAACATTCTTACTCTCCTTACTCCCTCTCTTTCTACTCTTGCGAGATAGCCCCTCAACCGTCTACCCCCACCCAGAGGCAAGTTGGCACTACCAGTTGGCCGGCAACGGCCGTCTGCAAGGGTGCCGTCGACAGTCTAGAAGCGTAATAAATTTTTTATTAACTGTTCTTACATATCTAGAATATTAAGAAGAGAAAAATATAGACACTAAAATTAGTTGAACACAATTTTAAAGATTATATAGCGCTAATGATATAATCATATGGTATTTTCTGCAACATTTAAGTTTGTCGGTCACTAGAAAAATGCAAAATATATAATTAGATATCAACACTAGACTGCTGATAATAGAAAGATTATAAAAATAAACATCTAAGAAGAATTTAGAAGAAGAATATTCAAATGCCTTGAACCTATTCAAGAGTATTTAAAAAGAGTGGCGGAGAGTTTATTGCCAGTTCTTCTCTCCCGTTCTACGCCCTTGATTTGAGAACTGGCAGTAAATGTAAAATTAGAAGCATTAATATGTATTTCTTTACTGACGAGTCATAAGTGTAAATTATGTTACCTATGTGATTAAATGATTTTTTTTCTTTAACTTTTACAAGATAAATTGTTTTGTTAGGATATGTCTATTTGTACGAACCAACGCTGTACATTTTGCTCACTCAGGCTTTCATAGTTTTATAAGCGTGGCGATTACCCAAATACGTTGGAGTTACGCCCCGAGAGTATGCCACACAGGCACTCTCTTCAGCATTCATTGAACATTAATAGCATTTCATTAATAACCAATGTTCTTTTGTTATACGTTATTGATGAAAATAGACGCTTTTGTCGCAAGAATAGTTTTATGAGCTATTATTTATTCAGTTTCACGTTACACAATACATTACTTATACAGTTTAATTGTGTTTTATTTATTTTATTTTTTATTACACATTAGAAGGAAACAGTAGGGCGATTCACATATTACATGTTATAACGAAATTTTGGAGATTTGCAGAAAATTCAATATGTTGCTATATCAAACGAAAATAGCAACTGGATTTGCATTATTAGAATCGCCCCACATAAACAATAAACTACAAGCTCCCTCCTAATCAGAGTGCCAAATCATAAAATGACTGCTTTACGACTGATTTGAGCGCGACCGCCGCTTTGAAAACCGCTGTGTGAGTTCGAAAAGTGTGTTACAGAATCGCACGGCTGAAGTGAAAAGAATTACAATCCCGTTTAATTTATGTTTTTATGTTACTAGCTTTTGGTCTTTACCAATTTTACAAAGCTTTTTAATGTACAACTTTTCATGCACTGCGTACAAATTCTACGAAGCTCACAGCCATATTGTATCTAGCTATGTTTACCGATGTGTTAATGTCCTAATTTAAAGCCCAATTTTTGAGCTTGATGGTGTGTATTGCACTAATAATCGTGTAATTATCTTGCGAACATGTACAAGTATAGTTTTATAAATAACTTCATTTTAAAAAGAATATAAACTGTAAGTTATAATTCAAACATTAAACTCCAATTTTTTCGCTACTTGATTCGTAATTAAAAAGTTATTTTAAATTTAGAAAATTAGAAACCAATATAGTACACTTTCATAATAAATAATAATAGTTGTTCAAGATTTCAAAATGCGGACAATTAATATATCGGTAAACTGTTATCTAAGGTACATGCAATAGTTACCCTGGGTCCTACGCTGTTTGGTAGCGAATCCATCCGGCGATTGTCCCCTGCCATACTGACCAGTGTGGTCACTAATCCTGCTACACGCACTGCCTCTACGTTAGCCTGCATGCGTTAAGATTTAAATTATTACCTCCAGCTTTTTAAACTATAGCACTAATCACACAAAAAAGACTGGAGGATAAATTTAAACCTTATAAAATTGATTATATTTTGTATTGGATCGCGTGTCTAGTCTTTTGATAACTTTAATAAACTATGCATTCTTCAGCCTTAAAAGCAATGGGTGACGTGGACTTTTGTTAGTTCAATCAACTGTTATTTTAAAAATATTATACATTTTCCACCTCACCAAAATGGGTGTGAAGAAATATTTTAAGATGCAGGAAGACTGACTTTATTTAGCAGCAGAACAATTTAGTTTTTTCTTTAAAATATTAAGATGTCGTTTGTTTAATATTTAATTTCAGTTTTCTTTTATTTATCTATTGGACCCGACAGACGTCGTCCTGTACAAACATTTCAAATACAAATTTTCAAACGTAAAAACAAATCTTATTGTTATTAATTTTAACTATTCTCTAATCCACTTAAACACTCATCAAAATCGGTCCACCCATTTATTGGGTAACGGCTTTGGCGGGAAAGATTTGATGTCTTGGTCGTGGTAAAATAGAAACTCGAAATAAACACATAAACCGATCAACTTTGAAACTCATAATTATTGTCATGGCATGGTTTTATAAAAGCGGAATTAAAAACTGAATAGTAGTAATACTGCCTAGTCGTAAAATGCGATTTCTTTTTAATCCTAGTCATTTTTATTTCGCGGGATTTTAAAATACGAATGTATTTTTGCAATGCCGTGTGACTATATAACAAAGTGACATTAATCGAAAACTATTGGCGGATCCACTCTACGAGCCAAAAATTAAATCACGTTGTTCTCGTAAATATTTCTCGCTTCGTTCAATAAATCCGCTGTTTACACAACCGTGAACAAAGGCAAATTCTGGCCAGTTGATTGAACTATTCACTAATAAAACTTAGCTTTTATACATGTATTTTATAGGTATCGGTTTATCTCTTTGAGACTCGCCACAGGAGATATTATGGTGCACGGATGTGCGCAGAAACACGTGTGCATCTATTCCATAACTCTCATACAACTAATGTTCATCACGACCGCAGTATCACAAGACCAGAACCCACACCATTACGTCATCAGAGGATCTTCAACTTCCAAACTTGAAATTTCCTTAGGAAAATCAAAATGTATTTTTTGACCCGGGAATCGAACCGTATACATGATCTGCAGTCAAACATGCTAGCCACTAAACCAATGAGGCAGTTATATAATTAATACACACAATCATAATGAGATAGCCTTACCTTTGTCAGATCTCGGTGTAATTTCTTTAAATGGAAAAGTGTTAGTCCAACGCACACAGCGTTGACTCCAATCCATAAAGCATTAAGTACGTAGTGCCTGAAGGGTCCTCTAACTAAGGGGCACGATGGGGACGGCCCATACGATCCGTAGGACCCAGCACTGGCAGCTAAAGCCCCGGATAAAAATGTTGGGCCCAGGTTTATGGTAATTGAAGCGAACCATATCATAAACGTACCGAAGAGAACGCACTGAAAATAATACTTCTTTAATAATTTTCATGTTGTAATAATTCCTCTGTCATAAACATTTCTTGTAGATTTATTTACTGGATATTAAAAATACGATGCTAGAATATCTACAAAATCACAGCTGAACGGAAAATGCAAAATTCAAATATTCAATGGACAAATTTTGAAGAATCGTGCGACGCTCATGAATTCTAGGAATGGATCGTTCTTTAAAGGTTCTTTAAATTTATAAATACAAAGATAGCAAAGAAGAAATATTGAAGCTAATTCCAGTTCAAAATTGGACCAACGCACATCGCAGTGGTCTGAAATCCCAAAAAGCTGGCCAAAATATGAAGATGTCATTGGAATTCCATGAATTTTGGTAAACCTACCTCGGGGTAGCTGATCACGAATTCGATATTTAATTTTTTTAAGTCAAAATTTAAAAGCAAAATGGCGGATAAAATACGGCGAAAAGTTTATTTAAAAACGTGTTTAATTCGGGTGAAAGTCTGGACTCGGGGGTTTTCGGGGTCTCTAAAAGTGCACACACCATAGCCATATGTATACCACTACAACTATTGCAACCATTAAAAGTCCATAGAAAAAATATATTTTTTCCTACTTTTGGCCAGCTGTTTTGGATTTCAGACCACTGGTCCAATTTTGAACTGGAATTAGCTGCTTTGATTGATTTGATCTTGCTTCTGTTATACTTCTATAAATATCTTTCTAACCTGCGGACTATCCATGAGCAATGGGGCGGACAGATCTGCTTGCTCCTCTTCGTTTTCAGGAAATATAGGACTGTCATTGAGTACAGTTGTCAGCATATTCACCGTTGACACTGTCACCTTTTCGAAACAGAAGAAGAAATTATTTTACGATTATTTACTCAGATATCGAAACCATTAACATAAAAAACCTCTAGGAAACCTCTGCTAACAGACTGTTAAGAGAGCATAGAGCATTGTAAAAACCAAACAAAATTAAATGTATAAAGATAGACATAAAACAAGTTCTTCAATAAATACAGATTATCATCTAATTTATAGTTCTAATTGCATTAATTAAGCATTTCAAAACCAGTAGTGATATTAAAAAAGTAACATCACAGTGGTAATGAACGGGGCTCGGTGACTGTTCCACAAACAACAGAAACACAGGTGACTTAAAATAATGTTGTTAATAAAATGATTATTACTACTTTGACAGATTTTAAAAATTATGAATCATATTTTGTCGTCCATGATCGTAGGGCTCAACAAATTCCATTCGACGACTCAATGTCCAGTTTCAGGTTCAAATTGAGGCTAAAGTCACTTATATTTTAATTTTATCGTTTAATATTTGTATTAACTGTAAATTTAAGTTTTAGTAATGATACGCTTTTATGTAAATCTACTTGTACAAGTTTTTCTAAACGTACAAATATGTCTAACTAAATAAATGAAAAGAATTGCCTGAGACAATTGGATTTAATATTTTCTAGTGATGTCTTAGCGCCATTCGGTCAAATTGATAACTGAATTTTATACCCTGAATTGAAAGTAGAACAACTAAAAGTTCACAAGGCGCAACCCAGTCATTGTACAACCAAAACATCACGTGTGAATAACATTCAAAACTATTAGTGTAGAGAGTTGAAATAAATCTAATATATTTAATTAATTTATGTTTACTCCTTTGCAGTGCTATTTTAGCTTAGAGATAAAGCCGCCTAATGCCCTCAGATATTTTTTTGTTTATTCTAATAAAAATTAATAATCAATTTACGAGCAGTTTAAACAATTGGTATAAATCAACTAGACAAATAAAATTTACAGTACTCTTAAATCCATGAAAAAGAATAATCGTTTCGGAATAGAAGGTACATATACGATAAACTAAGGAAAATCAGTACAAAATATATGTGTCGGCTTTGCCCTATACTATACTCATAGATGTAAGCGATATAACATGTTCAACGATCTGTAGCATGTTCTACATCATGAAGAACGCATGTAGCATTCATAAGCTACGTGCAGACCTAAAGTGATATACATTGTTGAGCTGTCCTGTACTAGAGCAATTGAGCATAGCATAAGACTGATAGCAAATATTATTAAAAATAAATAAGTGTAATAATATCTCCATTTATCCAGACTCGTAATCGTAGATATTTTTTTTCGACTTCCTAACATCAACAACAACTATGCAAAAACTCAGTTTTGTATCACGCAGCCCGGATATACAACGACCAATATTTAAGCCTTGACTTGTTTAAGCTATCGTGGTATATGCTTAGAAGGAGTTTTAAGAATATCCATAGCGCTAAATCACCTGCATCATCGGCACACCCCATATACCCACTTTCTTACATACCCTCACTTTCACACCATCACACAACACAACCGAATTCTTAGTTAGATGTATTTAATATATATAGAGTATTAGAGGTCAAAGATCTGGGAGTATATTTTAATGCCAATCTTGGGTTTGCGCAACACGTCGATAAGACATGCAAAAAGGCATACAGAAAGTATTGTCTTTGATTAACATAACTTTTATTCATTTAATAAAACACTATTTTGACCGGATTGAAGTTAGTCACCGTGACCACGCACGCTGTAAAGCACGCGAAACGTCGGATAAATTTAAAATTATGTTAAATAGTTGTAAATTTATAATAATACATAACTTCAATCCGGTCAAAATAGTGTTTTATTAAAAGGCATACAGAAATTTGGGGTTCATATTACGAACAGCTTGTGGCTTCACAAATATCAGTGCGATTAAAATTTTATACAATGCGTTAGTCAGAAGTCACTTGGAGTGCAATGCAATGGTGTGGGCCCCATATGAGGCTAAATACAGTCTCATGTTAGAGCGAATACAAAATAAATTCACCCGTTACCTCTACAAGAGACTGTATGGAGTGTATCCTTTGTATCCGCTTATGTACCCGACCCTGTTTGTTCTGGGTATGGTGGGCTATGACCAGCTACGCCTCAGAAGAGAGCTAGCCTTGTCAGTGTATATATTTAAGATACTTACGGGTCGGGTTCATAATCTGGACATAATGGAGAGACTGAGTCTACGGGTACCAAGTAGAAACCTGAGGCGGAAGTCTCAACTTTTGGATGTACCGCGCGCACATTCCAACTTGGTTAGCGAAGCACCACTCACGCGAGCAATAATTATAATAAATAGAATTTCTGTTAAGGTAGACCTATTTGTTTGTACACTGGCTGAGTTCACAAGAATTGCTTCCTATATTATTAGTTACTTATAACTTTTATTATTTAGGTATATAAATATATATTTTTCTTAATGTTTTTTATCTAGGTTAATTGGTGTGGATGTAAATATTGTGTCGTTCTATCGAATTAGTAATTACTGTAAAGATAGAATAAGGATATGGGATAAATAAATAAATAAATATTTTTTTCCTTTCGTAAATGTTTAAACATTTTTGCATATGTCATGTATTCCATCTTTGGCTATATGTTTCGTATAATTGTTTTTGTTGTTATAAATTATAATTTAATAGTATAAGATCCCGCTATACAACGACCTTCACCGAGATGCTTATTTAATGAAACTTATTTTATATTTAATTTAATATGTCAATAAATATAATCCATATGGGTTGCCTAGCAAATTTCAGTCCAGAGTATTTTTAATTAATTTAAAAAAAAAATATTTTTTTAAACATTTCACCGGTATGATTATTAGATAAATTCTATACCAATCGAAAGTATGAAGCCCATAGAATATGCAAAAGTTAGGTTGTTTTTAATCAATTACTTATTTATGTGTATATTTTTTATGTGACACTAAAGTATATATACATCTTTAGTATAAAAGAAGGTTATAGTGATACATATATAATACTACCCTGATTAAAAATATTGATTGAAAAAAGTTCAAAAAATTTACTACATGCTAATTATAAAAAAAAATTTTTTTTTTAAATATTAATTAAACATACTCTGGACTGAAATTTGCTAGGCAACCCATATGGATTATATTTATTGACATATTAAATTAAATATAAAATAAGTTTCATTAAATAAGCATCTCGGTGAAGGTCGTTGTATAGCGGGATCTTAGACCATAAGTAAAGTAGTGTTCCTTGTCGTTTCATCACCACTTCAAATAATGCAATTAAACTGATAGGGTTTTTATGAATATATTATTTTAAAAGGGATAATATAATAACAAAATATTATTAAATCTGTTTGAGTGTCTATACGAAAAAAGTTAATAATAATTGGTAAATGTTAAAAATAAAAAATTCCGCTCCGTCAATTGCCACTATATAATAATTAGATCTATAATTAAAGTTTCTCTTAAGCATTTCCACTTCAAGTCCAAATTAAACCGAGTTTAAGATTCGCTGAATCTTAAGAGAACGGTATAAAACTTTTTAATAAATTTAGCGGAAACTTTCGACATAAATAATTTAGAGTAAAACCGAGATAAAATTGAGATTTAAGCATTTATTGGCAGTAAACAGCCCCCAATATTTCATGCCCCTCTCAAACGTCCAAATCTGCCTGACGAATTCGATGAAGACGAAAAAGCCGAGTGCTTAGCTGTCAATCTAGTGGAGCAGTGCACGCCCTATCTCACAGCGACTTGGCCCACGTTGTACACGTGAACGACGAAGTCGAGCGCAATGTCGCACTGCCCCTCCCTTCCGAGCTGCTCCCTCCTACGTCGGTCAGCGAGGTCAAAGCTCTAATCAAGACTTCACTGCCTCGCCTGCCAATCACAAGGTCTCGGCGCCATCTCTGACAAGGCCCTCCGATGCCTTCCACCCAATCTAATATGCTTACTAGCGAGCATATTCAAGTGCCTCCTCGAAAATTGTATTTGGCATTGTAATTGGTATCCACAAGCCGGGCAAGTTACCGCCGGTACCGAAGGTAGTCAAAGAGGGCCTCGTAGACTTCACCCTAGGAAAGGGGCTCACTCCCGACGAGCAATTTCGCTTCAGGCCGGCCTACTCGTGCGTTCATCATGTCCATAGGATCACGGAGTACATCCTTTCCGGGATGAAAAGCTTCCTTAAGCCGAGAGCCACAGGTGCGGTTTTCTTCGACATAGCGAAGGCGTTCGACAAGGTCTGGCACAACGGCTTGGTTTACAAGCTCTACCACCTTCAAGTGCCACTTAGAGTCGTGCGGTTCGTACACGACTTCTTGTCCGATCGCCCGATGCGCTTTGGTGTAGAGGAAACGTTATCGTCTCCTCGACCAATTGTAGTGGCGTCGCACAACTTCCTCCACCCTCCCCTGTCATCGGCAAGTCTCTGCATCTAGGTGATGTTAAGACCTGTAAGAGCCTTTACTTGATCGGTCCAGCAAGTAGGGGATCGGCCTCGAGGTCTTTGGTCCAGGGAATCCTAAGCATCCGCCTCCAATACCACATTTCCAGAGCAACAATATTTCTCCTTTCAGATGTTGGTATTCTCCAATCCATTCTAGACAACTTTAATAAATCCGTGAAAATTTTTAACGTATAAAACTCCGAAGAGGTCTCTCATACTGAAGATGAAGTTACCAGACATAGAAATATTCTAGATGATACAGAAATATCTCTTGTAAAGATGTCGATCACGTATCAGTGTAGAAACGATAATGGCATCTTGCCAATTCACCCGCATTGCGATTCAGTCTTAGCTACAGCATCTTAGTTACGGTAAGGCAAAATTCACACAATAGATAAGAAAATTCATAAAATATGGAGGTAAATGTTTTTAAAATATATATTTCACGCTATATTACGACTGTAGTCGACTTAGTCTTAAGGGTAATATTGAGAATCGAGACCTAACGTTATGTTC